GCCACGGACCCCGCAAAATCCAACGCGACACTGCTGTCCGCGGGACGTGTGCCTCCTCTTAAGCAGCGCTTGCCTGTGCTCAAGGCATTCTCTGCTGCAGGTGGTGATTGGGCGGCGTTGGAACCAAGATTCCTTTCCGACTGTGACATGGTGGGGTGGATGGAGGAAGAGAGACTCCGCGCTCTTCCAGCCGCCCTGGATGACGACGCCTTAGCCGCCATCATCACGATCCCGTGGGGGGATCATGCAATGTTGCAGCATGCGTTGAAACACATGGCAGCTATCTACAGGCCTCCTTCAGATATGAGACACTGCTTAAATACCCGGAGCAAGGGTGAGTCGGAGACTCCCCTGGCTTTCCGCAGTGCTTTGCTTGCTCTCACTAGGCCAGCTTTTCCCTGGATGGATGACAATGGCATCGACACCCTCGTCCTGCAGAAATTGTTCTCGCTGGCGTGGGACTTGCGCATCGTCGTTCACGCAGTGGACGACGACGACCTGAACTCACTGCATGCCGCCAAGGCAATGCAAGTGCACCTTCTCCTCCAACGAGAGACAGGTGTCGCCGCTTATGTTGCACCATCACCAACCGATGCTCGTTCGGAAGAGACCCAACCCGACCAGGCCTTTGCAGTGACTCGGGCCTCAGGTTGGAGGGCTGGTGACCGACCCCACCCGAGAGATTCTCGGTAGAGGGAACGGCCACCTCCACGACCGGAGCCCCGGATCACCTGCTACAATTGCGGCCTCCGAAGACACGTGTCGTCGGGCTGCCGGGCACCTCAAATCTGCATTGGTGATATTAAAGTGGTTGGTCCCATTCTGGTATCCTCGTCCCTCGCTGTTCCGTGTCTCCTCGGCACTGATTTCTTAGGCAAAATGCTAAACAAAATTCTTGTGGGCCAAGGTTTCTTCGAGCTCCTCTCTGGTTGACGTATATCTTTCCTGCCCTCCCCCACCCACTTGCGCGCGGCCTGCGCTACGGTACAAGTACTGGCGTCTCGTACGGTGCGTATCCTGGCGGGCGCTCAAATCCTGGTTCCATTGCAACTACTGAAACCGCTAGATTCGGGTGCGACGGCGGACGTTAATTTATTGGGCCCTTCAAACACCGCGGTGCGTGGGCTGGAACTTGTCGGTACACAGACGATTGTATCAACCAAAAGAGAACCCTTCATCCAGTTATTGAATGCCGGGCAGCGCACGACGGTCATTCCGCAGGGTGCCATGCTTGCTCACGCGGCACCTGTGCCCCACGGTGACTCGCTTGTTGGCCACGTGGGTGACATACCTCAGTCGCAGCCGTGTTCCCACCTGGATGAAAGATAGCTAGTCGCGCTTTTCTCGGCTGCTGGTAAAATGTCCGATTCCCAGAGGTTGAAATTGCACGCACTATTGCGGGAATTCTCTGATGTCTTCAGCAAGAGCAAATTTGATATTGGATGCACTAATTTGTTGAGCCATCACGTTGATACGGGAGATGCCGCTCCCATTCGGCAAAATCCATTTCGTCTCAGCCTGGCTGAGAAGGAACATGTCCGGTTGGCCGTCAACTACATGTTTGCCGTGGACATTATTTCCCCATCTACCAGCCCGTGGAGAGCCCCAATTGTACTTGTCAAGAAGCACGATGGCTCTCTGAGATTCTGTGTAGATCTCCGGAAACTTAACAAAATCTCCGTAGCAGATGCGTATCCGCTTCCTTGAATGGACGAGTCGCTGGATGCCTTAGCGGGGGCACATTATTTTTCCACATTTCTGGATTTTGGCAACTGCTATTGGATGAGGCGTCCAAACCTAAAACCACTCTTTGCACGCCATAGGGCCTTTTCAAGTTTAATCAGCTGCCCATGGGCCTTCACTCGGCTCCAGCTACGTTCCAGCATCTCATGGAATTGGTTCTCGCTGGGCTCCAGTGTGACTCATGCCTCATTTACATCGACAATGTAATTGTCTTCAGTCGTAAATTCCAGAAACATTTGGATCATCTGCGGGTTGTATTAATTGAAATGCAAGCAGCTAACCTCAAATTTATCCGGAAAAATGCCACCTCTTGTGGGAATCGGTGCATTACCTGGGACATTGTCAACCAGTCGGGCATTGCAACTGACCCTGAGAAAACGAGCTGCATGCGTACATGGCCGACTCCCACTTCTGTGGGAGAAGTAAGGAGTTTGATTGGATTTGCTTTGTATTATCGAGGATTTGTTGCGGGATTTGTGTCGATAGCTAAACCCCTTCATGCTCTGACAGCGAATGGGCAAGAGTTCCATTGGGGACAGGAGGAGGAGGCCGCGTTCGGAGCACTTCGAGATTCCCTCGTAAATGCCCCTCCCCTGTGCTACCCTGACACGGCCGTTTATTCTCGACACGGATGCCAGCAACACGGGCATCGGTGGTGTGCTGTCCCAGGTGATTGACAGGGTGAACGGGTTGTCACTTGTGGCAACAGAGTTCTATCTCTGGCAGTGCAACGCTACTGCATAACTCGCCGTGAGCAATTGGACCATCGTGTTTTTTAACCAGCAATACCGGCCAAATTTATACGGCAGGCATTTTACTGTACGTTCCGACCATGCGGCATTACAATATGGCTTGTGAACTGACCAACCGTCTGGCCAATTGTCCCACTGGCTCGAGGTCCTGCAGGACTACTTGTTTCCGGTAACCAACCGCAAGATGTCTAAACACTCGAACAGAGAAGCGCTGTCGCGGCTGCCCGCTGGCAACCGGTATGCGTGCTTTTCGGGTTCCAGCCGTTGCAAACAGCCCGTTGTTCATGCGCCCCCCCCCCCCCCCCGCCACTCGCTGCTGCAGCTGAGGTGGCCGTTCCTGAAGGTGTCTCCTCTGGGGGGCTGGACTCGAGATGCATTACTCAATTCATGCCTCGTGGACTGGGGGCGCCTCCAAATGGAGGACACCTTCCTCCTTAAGTCACACAGCCAATGCTGAGCGACTTAGGAACTTGAAAGTATCGGGAAGGATTCGCGCCCATCATTCTGCGGGAAGGTCTGTTGATGACCTGGGATGGTAGCTCGCGCTGTTATCAAATTGTCGTGCCAACCGCTCTGCGCGGAAAGGCCGTTTAAGCTGCTCACGAGCACCTCTTGCACCTGGGGGTCCAGAAACACTTAGCACGCTGCAGCTCGATTTCTATTGGCCAGGTATGGTGAAATATGTGGCCAATCTGCTCCTGAGCTGCACCCAGTGTGCCAGGTGGAAGCCACCGGCAGGCCATCGTGCCCGCCCCTACAGTCCATCTGCATGTCCCGTGTCAATGAATTGGTGGCGCTGGACATTCTTGGGCCCTTTCCAGCTACCTCCCGAGGTAATAAGTACCTGCTGGTTGGGGTGGAACATTTCACCCGCTGGCCCATGGCCTGGCCAATCCCCAACCAGTCGGCAGCAGCCATTGTGGAGGCCTTTCTCCAGGGCTACGTCCTGGACAAGGGTGCTCCGGAGCGCCTGCTGACCGGTCAGGGAAGGAATTTCTCATCCACCCTGTTGAAGGATGTGTGTAACCGCCTTGGTACACAAAAAGTGCTCACTTCCCCGTACCACCCATAACCTGAAGAGATGGTTGAGCGTCTTCATCGGACACTCATCTCAATGCTGTACCACCAGCTTGACGAGTCGGAACTAGATTGGGATCTCCATATCCCCGGTGTCCTGGACGCGTACAGAATGACACCCCATGCAGCAATGGGGTACTCGCCATTCTATCTCATGTATGGCCGCAATGTCAATCCCCCAGCAGACGTGCAGCAAAGCTTCAAACCGCTCGCCTCGAAATCCAAACTTTCAGACCACATCCGATTCAATATTCAAAAACTGACCGAGGCACGGGAGGCCGCCAGGGAAAATTCCGCGGCGAGGCAGCTGGCCAACGAGAAATTGCAGGGCCACCACGTTTCCGAGCACACGTGGGCTGAAGGGGACCGGGCCTGGCTCCATTGTCCCCAGGTTCTCTTGGCAACATCTTCTAAACTTCTCAGACCCTAGAGGGGGCTGGTCGAGGTTTTCCGAGTCGTCTGCCCCCAGTGTGTTAAGGTACAATGGGGTAGGCGATCTTGGCACGTCCACCCATCGTGTCTGAAACTCTACGTCGCGTCGCGCACTTTCACATCATCTTCATATCGCAGGGGCCGTGGGTGTGACGTGCTCGACGTGCCGGGGTGTTCATCTGCAGAACCTAACCCTGAGACGAGCCATCTGATCCCACCCTCAGATGCTACGGGATGGAGGCCATCACGGCCATCGACGTTGGCCGCCCACGACACCGAGCGCCCACCCACCCCACCAGATGAGGCCTTGATGGGGCCTACCTCTCCTGACCCGCCCTTGTGGGCTGTTCCCCACTCACAACCAGTTTCTGCTGAGCTGCAAAAAGACCCAAAGAGCCAGCTTAAAAAAGGACCGGGGAACCCCCGGACCCACTGTCCTTTTAAGGGCTGGGACTGAGTGGGACAGTGGTCGGACCCTGAGAAACTTCGGACACAATGTCCTTCTGATGGCCGGGACAGAGCGGACCAGTTGCCGGGACCCGAGGACCTTAGCTGGGTCGGGTCAGGCTAGCCTCCCGTAGGGCAACTAGCCTTAGGACTGAGATATAGTGTGGTCCCAGTGATAGAGAGCACGATAGCGCGGAGGCTGTACCTCCCCAGGTATCGGGTGGAAGGGGCCGTTACCCCTTTGTGTTAGGGACCCTGTACTGTTATTGTTATAAATTATCGTGTTGTCTCCAGTGAAGACTGGGTCTCCATCATTACCACAACATATACTCATGATGCTTCTAGTTCATGAGAAGTGCTGTATGTCGTGGACATACAGTTCAGCTGCCGATAACAGGATACCGTAGGAAACAAATGAAAAGCTACTTTGTGTAACTGGGCGAGCGTTAATTGAGACACCCTTTACCTGTTAACAATGGAATCCATGGCACATGCAAGGTGTGAACAGAAACAATGGAAAGACGTGTTGCAAAACAGTGTCAACTTAAGTTGTAGCTATTCGTAGCTGATACAATGAAATATATATGTGATGTTGAAATGGATGAATTTGAAGTTGTTTGAAATAAGACATACATTGTTCTCGTTGAAAAGATAGGGGAATATGACGCGTGCTTTCGCAGCTGGTGATGTCACGGCGCGTACTGAAGCAGCCTCACGGGATTTTCAACTTCCCAACCTGATGAAGCCCGAGTCGGGAAGTTTAAATGATGTCGTGAAAAGCCTTAAACTACCTTTGAGCTTTATTGGTTTGAATGTGATCAACACCTTGGCATGTACGAATGTTGTCTTTTTAAAAGTTTTACTTTTGTCGAGTGGTGGGGGCTTAGCAACGAGAATTTTGACAAAGAATCTGGCACGTGGCCAAATCTCTAAATATATGGATCAGTATTCATGTATCTGACTATTCAATTAAAAATAACTAGGGATCTGCTTATTAAAATATAACTTTAGCGATGACACATTTGACTTTTACCTCATGGTATACGTTAATATAGAAATGCAGTAATGTCCTTGGCATAAGTATAAAGGGCAAAGGTGCATCATTGCAATGGATTTATTACAGCACCGCTGGCAGACTCCACTTAAACGACCACTAAATATCCCCTCTAGAGGATAATGTATATACTCATGTATGCTTACATAAGTGTTAATTTTATAGCCAATAATTTTAGCTAAATTCTACGAACATAGGCTAGACACAGGGGAAAGCTCTCAATTCCGGAACTTTTCCACAGAGATCGGGATGGTTCCACTATTTGTAGAATGGGTCCGCAAACTGCAGAAATACTCTTAAACACAGCTGCCACGTTACCCACACAAACATGGCATTATCTCTAACAAGTATAAGATCATAAACAGAACAATGTAATCAACGTCCGTGAAAACAATTAATAAATAGAACCAATATTAACGTGTGGAATCGCTGACTCACAATTTTTTTGTCTCAGGTGGGAAAATATCGACGAGTTTAATGAGACAGACATAAGGCATTGGGTAACGTAGAAATGAGAATAAGGCCAGGAGATAAGAGGGCTCTCAACGGGAATAAATGTGGACCCTCAGCAGTGGTTCAGCATCGTTGTTCAGGATCTTCACTGCACAATGTACGGACTCATCTTCGCTCTGCTCGTGGGCACCGCTGGTGAGACTTTGTGTAACTTCCACTGCTAACTGGTTGTGTAGTGACTGATTTTGGGTCGAACTGGGACCCATGTCCAGCAGAGATTATCTTTGTACGTATGCTGAACTTATTTCGCACCGTATGTATCCAACCGTGCTAATCTTTGCCTTTAGACATCTGGCAGTTTAAGAGTATTGGTTTAAGCAGGGCATTGAAGGATATCATTAGTGGTCAATTTGGAATTTTAATTTTGCGTAGGCCTCCGCTAGGTTAGCTCAATCGGAAACACTTTATGCCTCCTATGATGATGTGCATCACTAAACTAACAGAGGAGAGGAAGGTGTGCTGCTTATTTGGCTGTGCCAGAAAGTTGGTCTTTGACTTAAACTGAATTATACCCAAGTGCAAGATGGGGCTAAAGTCCGTTTTTGTTCCCAAGGGATTGGTGCAAATTTTGATTTAAAGCATTCGTGACTGCAGTAATTCATATTCTTAGCTCTTTCGGTAAAGTCACGTTGAAGGGAAACAATAAAATAATAAAATATATAAAACAATACAAATTCTCACGACGTTTCGACCATAACACAAACGGTCGTCATCAGGTGTGTCGGTTTGCATAAATTTATTTATTTTAAAACAGTGTATTTATTTATTCATTGCAGATCATTGTTATAATTCAGTAGGCTCACATGACATTGACTTTTCCAAGACAGAGGTTATTTGTAAGCCATCTGGCTACAATGAGAGATTCGTTCATGAGGCTATCCACATATCCAAGCACAGAGACAATTTCAACCGAGAAGACGGATTCTGGCTTAGCAATCGTTGGAAAGATTTGATAAACCATTTCAGGTCTTAATTGATTGTTCACGCTTACAGTGGCTTTCAGACAGCATACATTAATTTTTCGTCTCCCCCCTCCTCTTTTCAGAACATAGATGGAATAGTCCTTCTAAATAAACTGGCAAATCGCTGCGCGTGGCGCTGACGTTTTTTATTATAAATAAATAAATAAATACGCCGTTTAAAAATAAATACATTTGTGCAAACCGACACACCTGATGACGACCGTTTGTGTTATGGTCGAAACGTCGTGAGAATTTTTATTGTTTTATATATATTTTATTATTTTATTGTTTCCCTTCAACGTGACTTTACCGGAAGAGCTAAGAATATGGATTGGTGCAAATTCAAAATTCCTTCTGTGGGGCCCATTATGTCCATCAGACAAGAACGACGATTGAGCAAGTGATGCAACATTTCTAGTAACCATAGCGAAGTGACTGTTTTTGCTGGAATTGGTCTTTGCAATTGTGTTGCTGGTAAGATTGGTGATGATGATCATCACGGAGAAAGCAGAGGCGGATCTATAATATTCCCAAGAGGGGTGTTCATGAAAAGTCCATACATTTAAAAAGGGGCTTACAATATCAATACGTTTTTTTCTGGTAAAAATCAATAACCATATTACTTTGCGACTCAAGGGGTGGGAGGGGTGTAGCATTGTCTCCATTACTTCCCTTGGATTCTCCACTTGGCCTTATACACGATGTCGATGGTCATGATCCTGTTGACGATTATTCTCACGATGAATGTTGGGTCTGAGTAATTGACCGTGGCCAGGATACTAATTCACACTCTGCTTCGCTGAGAGCGGCGGCCCCATACATGTATGAGGACCACATCGTGGGTGGCTCCGAGTGCGCTTCCCACTCGCAGCCGTGGCAGGTGTCCCTCAACATCGGATACCACTTCTGCGGAGGCTCCCTGATCTCCAGCGAGTGGGTCATGTCTGCCGCTCACTGCTACAAGACGTGAGTGTGCTGCGGGTGGACATGAGCGAATCTCGTTGCGTGCTGCGTGTCTGGTGGTCTCAGTGAAGTGACATCGACTTGTGTAAAATGCAGTGTACACCTCCAACCTGGTGATCACGACCTTATCTGAAAAAATCTTAAAGCTCATGTTGTTGAACTAAAACCTAGCCACAAATAATATTTACTTGAGCTTCACCGATGGGGCAGCAGTGTCACAGCTGGTAATATGAAGAAGCCGATCATATTATTTTGAATGAGACCTCTGCGAACAAACGAGACAGGGCTATGTGCAGATTGCAAAGGTATGCGACATCCTCTTTCCACAACAAGGCGATGTGCCCCAGCAGTTCGTTTTGTTTAGGCAATTATATCAAATAGTTACAGCACTTGTCAATCAACCACACTTGTCAATTTGGGTTGGTTACGGTGGGGAGTGTAGATGTGATGGCATAGAAATACAGTGCTAGTTGACCATGTACATATTTGTTTAGATGGTTTTGTTCGTGTTTTATTGTTATTGCTGTAGCCAGGTTTGTATTGTGTGACCAATCCCCATAAACGAGTAGCATTCATGGCCCAATGGGTTTTACCTGTATCAAAATAAAACCCCCAAAAAAACATAGAACCTAAATTTAAGCGATCCCTTATGAATAAAAATCATCATCACTACAATCATACACTTCCTCCACCCACAGCCCGTCCCTCATCTCTGTGCGCATCGGCGAGCACAACATCTTCGAGTCTGAGGGCACCGAGCAGAGGATCCAGGCCTCCAAGGGGATCCGCCACCCCCAGTTCAACTCAAGCACCTTCGACAACGACATCATGCTCATCAAGCTGTCCTCGCCCGCCACCCTCAACCAGTATGCGCAGGCCATCCCGCTGCCCTCCTCCTGTGTCGGCACCGGAGTCATGTGCACCATCTCCGGCTGGGGACAGACCGAGACCAGCCTTGGTGAGGACACGGCGCTTAGACGTCCGTATACCCTGGAAAATCCATTTAAGCAAGAGTTTTTAAAGATTTTACAATGTCGGTTTCGTGGTCACTCTGTATAGCTCTCGGATGTGTTCGGGCTGTACCACGTCGTGTTCATCATGACGTGCTGCATTAGACTCTCTGAATCACATTTACAATAGCCTTGATAATAAGAAGTACTGCGCCAGTCTTTTTCTTGACTTGTCCAAAGCCCTTGATAGAGTCGATCATAACACCCTGCTTAGTAAACTAAGTTGCCTCAGTTTCTCCAAACACGTAGTAGAATGGTTTAAAAATTACCTCGTTTCTCGCACCCAAACTGTATTCACAGATGTTTTGGAGGTAAAACAGTGTTAAGATAACAATAGGGGTTCCACAGGGTTCCATCCTCGGCCCCTTCTTGTTCTCTCTTTATGTCAATGACTTGGGCACTGACCTGGATCATTCCAGGGAAAACAATTTTGGAGATGACAGAATAATGATTACTGCTGGCCGCTCTCCGGATGACGTGATTGCTAAGCTCCAGGGTGATTTCAACTACAACATCAGCTATTTGTTCTTAAACTAGTCCTGAATACCTCCAAAACCAAGGTGCTATGCTTCTCATCAGGACTAAAGCAGGAAATTATTTTTCCCCCATTACATTCCTTAAATAATTATCAAATATAGCAAGTCACCATCTATAAGTATATTGGGGTCATCCTGGATTCAAAAGTGAAATTTGAAGATCACATTGATTATATTGGTAAAAAGAGATAAATAAAAATTGGTTTTATGTATCGACACAAGCACTGCTTCCCCCCTATATTTCGTTTGGAATTGATAAAAGCTACCATACTGTCTCTACTTTATTACTGTGACATCGTATACAAATCAGCCCCAAGCACTGTACTGAAAAAGCTTGAATCAATTTATCACTCGGCCTTAAGATTTGCATTGAACTGCCCATATAAGACTCACCACTGTGATCTCGACATTGGGTCAAACGTAACATCTCTTCATGTTCGACGGCTCGTGCACCAGATCTTATTTCTTCACGATGTACTTACAAAAAAATCCGCCGACTACCTACTGGATCTCCACTTTGTTTCAAAGAACAAATGTGACCTAAGGTCATCGCTCATATACCAGCTTCACATTCCTTATTGCCGTAGAAAAACTGGAGGAAGGGCCTTTGCTATTGATGCCCCCAGGGTCTGGAATTCTATTGCCAATAAACTGCAACTTGAATCGCTACCTATGAGATCTTCACTCAAAACTGCTCTAGAGGAGTTGTACACCCCTAGCTGTCACTGCTATCCAGTGGCCTAAAATTAAATGTTTTCGTTCTGGATGACCGCTGCAACGGAAGATCTTGTGTTTTGATTTAGTGCGCTGATCTTTAAAGGTGCATTTGAAAATTTTAGATACTCCGACTGATGCCCCTGCTATCGTGGAGTGACTCATGCAGCCAGCTATGGCTACAGGGTTTGGTGGTACATGTTGTTTATTTCGTTTATTGTGAAATTTCGGTCACAGTTCGTACGATCACTGTTACATTTTTATGGCTTTATTTTGGTGATTTAGAAAAGGTTTTTTTGGTTTGGCCATGTTTGTTTGTTGTAGTACGGAGTTAGAATGATTGCTTTAATCTAAGTTGTCTTGTGGTTGTTGTTGTTGTTTGACTTGCATCCCACTGGGATTTTTGCAAAGCGTTGGTGTACGGTGCTTTTTTTCTGGAAGACTTTGCAGTTTTTTCTAGTATTTTTCTGTTTGCGCATAGTCACTTTAAGATGTTTTCATTTTCATGTTTTTCTTTTTTATTTGTTGCGGTTGCACCCGATCCAAGAGCCAAACGACGTTTCGCTCCACTTTTTGGGAGCTCCCAGCACGTGCAGCGAAACGTTAGACATCATGTCCAACAACACGCAGTACAACCCAAAAACCTATCAGAGAAAAATGTAATAGAGCGGTGGGTAATATGTAGTCTGCGGGCCGAATGCGGCCCATGCAGTCCCTTTGTGGGGACTGTTTCATCTCGCCCTCTCTTCCGCTGTCTTCCTCTGCTCACTTTTCTCCAGGTTTATAAATGGGCACAAGCTACCAACCCATTGCATTGTCTCGGCATTACTGGGACCTTCACGCTGAGTCCACTGAACTCTCTTCTGCCGCAGCCTCTGCTTATGAGTTTCTATGTCCTCACGTTACCCAAATCTTTCCCCAGTGAGCAATGCCTCACCACTGCCACCTGCGTGTCTCCATACAGGCAAATCCGCTGTCCTCATGTGCGTCCAGGCGCCTGTGCTGAGTGACACCTCCTGCAGGAACTCCTACCCCGGTGACATTACCAACAACATGATCTGCCTGGGATACCTGGAGGGTGGCAAGGATGCCTGCAAGGTGAGGTCCCCTGAAGCTACTTGAGTCAATAAGTCTGAACGAGAGTATGAGAGTCGAGTTGCCCTCTTGCTACAAACCAGTGCCACCTCCACCAAGCATACCAATCCAGACAAAGTAATACTACTATCGTAGTCCAAGGCCCAACGTAGATATTTGTACCAATGTAGCACTGATTGTAACCATGAAAGTTACGCCTCCACAGGTGGTTTTGACAAGTGGAATATCTGGTCTGGGCCCATGGACTAACAGCAGTGCCTCACTCGTTAGTGGTAGTGCCAGGCAGAGCCCCAAGCAGCACCAGGGTCCCAGATTCATGAAAAAGCATCTTGAATTCCGATCCTCGTACACCTTATGAACACAAAAAAGTTAATTACTCTCTAATCAACATTTTGGTTACATCTCTTTCATCTAACTCAATATTTATCACTTCGTTTTCACGGAAAATACTTTTGGTAAATGCCACAAACTCGCGGTCTAAGACAGTCGTCTGTGCGTCAGGAAAAGCTAGGAACCACGACATTAGATCCAGGAGCCAGCTGCTAATCCCTGACCCTCTAACCCCTGATGCCGCCACCGCAGTATGACTCCGGCGGCCCCGTCGTGTGCAATGGCCAGCTGCAGGGCATCGTGTCCTGGGGTCGCGGCTGTGCCCTGCCCAACTCCCCCGGCGTGTACACCAAGGTGTGCAACTACAACTCCTGGATCGCCAGCACCATGGCTGCCAACTGAGCGACTCACTCGGAAGCCACCTTGCCAGAGCAACAAGCACCATGATGGTTGTAATGACATGAAACGAATAAAACCTTTGAAATGTTGATGCCACCATGTTTTCATCGCCTTATTTTCTTCGTCTTATTTTCTTCGTAAAGTTGATGATCGAAACATCGCATAGCATGGTATAATGGATTGTGTTGCTCTACTGCGCTGCAATCCACAAGCAGCCCAGTAGCAGCCTATACAGCACAGGACGTCTTAACTCCTTTGGTATGGTATCCCTATACCTCCCACCTGCAATCCTTGAAACAATAGTATACGTTTAAAAAACATATGTTTAGTTCAAATTGTTCATACCAACAAAGTGGCTAGTTTAAGTAATTTGCTTTGAGCATGTCGAAATGTTTTGCCAAGATTCAACTGATTTGCGTCGATACAAAGGAGGGGGTGACATGCAAATGAGATGGATAATGTCGGATTCCCATTGGTCGATTCAAACTTCTCCCAGAGTTCGACACAGGAGCTACAGCGTGACCTTGGGGCGCTCTCAGGGACGCTCGCAGCCAATCACAACCCGCCATTGTCCTAATTTGAATATGACCCGCCCCATGAAAATAAATTCCTCCCTCTTTCCATCTCTCCCGCTAGATTTAATAATCGATGGTCGATAAATCGATCAACTTTTGACGACTCGATGAACCATTTTGGTATAAGAGTTGATCGTCGAGTCCGGTTCACCTCTTGTGAGGGGCGCTGGAACGTGTAAACCGCACGGCGCTTAACAGTCACCACGTGGTACCTTCCAACAACAACAGCCGCCATTTACCACTAAGTGGCGGTGACGTCAACACGGCGACTGTCGAAAGCTTTCTGACAGGTCACGGGACAGACCCAGGTGCCATGGGTCGACTCACTGAGATGACTGGCAGATGCACACCAGCTGTGTCCCTTACTGTGCCATCTTGCTTCATTTTATCCGCCCAGCGCTCCATTCGTTGTAGTGAGCGTCGTTCCTCTGCCCTCCTTTGTTGTTGGAGGGCGACTGCCTCCAACTGAACAGTCTTGTCCTTCACGACATAGGCACACACACACACGGCTGTACACAGGGGGTGCGCTTGCATATTGAGATATTTTGATCATGACCACCATCAAATTCACTGCTGGATGAAGGCTGCCGTCTTTTTTCGATGTGGGGGGGGTGGCGTTGTGACGGGATGGGGAGCAGGTGCAGTTCATGTAACCACTCACCACTGATGTTAGCCGCGCACCCCCAAGCTGCACCATTACTCATCCCACTCCGCGGATATCTGTGAAAAAGAGCTTTATAGCTCATTGGATCCCTTCAGGATAAATTATTATTCTGATTCTAAACTCAAAACCAACACTCGCACCTAACACCGAATCGTCGAACCTCACCCGCATATTCGTCCAGATGTTCAAAAATCCCATCAGCGCCCGAGGTCGGCGTAATGGGTGTCGTCTGTCTGTACGCGTCACAGTTACATGAACGTGAATGAGCCGCCATCTCAGCGTCTGTTAGACTGACGTCCTCATCGAGTGGACGGCCACGTGGTGATGTGTGGACATTTGCGTTACGCGTGACTCTGTCGAGTACATGTTACACGTGTAGAGGTGTTACGGGAGGATGACACGCGGTTGTATAACGGTGGGAACGAACACGTCCGCTATGGCCACCACCCTGGGGGGCTGTTGGGGATGCTGTGATCCCCCTCAGCCCCGCCCCTCAGTGAGAGACAATATAAAAGGTGGGACCCGTAGAGCTGAGAGGGAGTTCGACCCAGTCAAGATGAAGAGCCAGTGAAGAACGAAGACCGACTAGCCAGACCCTGGAACTCCTTTGACTCGCTGTCCTTTTGAGGGCCGGGCAAGGCAAGCCAGGGTGCGACACCAGAGCCGCGAGGCCGATGTCCTTCGCAGGGCCGGACTCGTGTGGCTGGTGATCGAGACCTGCGCCGAAGCTGGGCCAGATCAGATAGCCTCCCGAGAGAGGACCAGGATAGAGGGAACTAGGGAGCTAGCGTGGGCTTAAGCTCGGGGAGCACTTTCCTCTATAGAGCACGGGTGAAGAGGCCGTTACCTCTTCGAGTGTCAGGGTCGCTACTGTCATTGAAGTATCTGTAATAAACACGTGTTGCCTCAAGTGAACAGTCTCCGACGTCAATAAGGCCACTGAACAGGTACTGTATGTAGCAGGGCTCAAGAGGAGACAGAGAAAGTCACTGCAGATCACCCCCTACAATCTCAATCCCAACTACAGTACTGTAGATACAATCACATTTTGTCATGCAAACCAGCAATAAGTAACGTTCGCATAATGTAACCAATACACAAATACAAAAACAATACCTTTACGCTGCTGGGTGGACAGAGACTGGGAGATTTAAGAAATGTACCCCTTTGTTTCAAATGCCGAACTGGGAAATCGAATCGAGAAGTCAAGCGTGCTATTAAACCTAGTACCACAGCAGCTCCCTTCATTTCATACAACCGCACTGTTCATCAAAGCAACGAAATCGAGACAATGTCAAATACATTGCAAAGTCATGGGAAACAGATATCTCGATCATCGTCATTGTGAAATGCACTATCGCGTCATATCGTGAATATTTGACATTGCAGCAAGCATAAGTTTCAAGCAACAATGTAGAAGCGTGTAAAAAGCTATTGACTATTGTGCAAGATGCGAAAACCCTCCCGAGTATTGAGTGAAGTTGTACATTGTGGTCCACTTGTCTTCTGTCACCGTCACAATAAACGTGACCAAATTTATCCGAATGACAGTCAGCAGTGATGCAGTGATATAGAACTGGTACGCAAGCACAAACGTGAACAGAATTGTGAATAATAAACCACACTTAACGTCATGAAAATAATTTCGGAGCTTGATCCTATAACACCATTGCGTGGAGTGAATACATGACGACCCCAAACCTAACAAAGTACATCACTGTTAGATGTTACATAAGGGCTTTACCATTGTAAATATGACAGGCAATGAATTGAAGAGCACGATGTAGTCTTACAGAGCGTGGATTGAGCCTCATGGAGAAAGTATCGAACGTTTATTTAAGAGCAAGCTGTCGGCATATATTAATCATGCACGAATGTGCAAAATACGAGTTTCACAACTTTGTGCGATCCATCAACCCTCGCATCCAAGGCCGGCGTTGTACACAATGACACAAAAACAAAGACAAATATCCACCTTTTAGCATTAACACACTGTTGGGGCAAGTGCTTTTAGCGAGCACCCATAAAGGCCGGCACGGCACACCAGGGGTAGGTGGCCAGCACCACGCCCGGCCGCCTTTGTATTCCCAGTGGCAATGTTTACACATTGCAGCAGTCGACATAGGAGAGGCCCAGGACCGGTTCAGAAAATCATCGCTGGTGTTGGCCGTGAGCGGAAATCGAACTCGGGTCGCCGGGTTCGTAGTGCAGCGCGTTAACCTCTACCCTACCGCTCCCCAAATGACACAGACACAATCACACATGCACAGTGACACACGTAGACACAAATGGACACACGTGTAAATTACTCAAGATAAATATACATAGGAGGCATTGACTACAACTGCAAAAAACGTGGCAGGACTTTTCTGAAGAAGAGGCATGAGACACAGTGAGGCTTTCTTGGATAAACAATCGTATTCGGAAGCTACTGGAACTATGCACTTTTGAATCAAGCTTGAAGTTTGCTGTCCTTCCCCCGCACCTCCGATTAGCACAGTTGGCTACGTTCCATGCGAAAGATGTTCAACATACATACTCATGATGATACTCGTTCATGAAAAGTGCTGCACATGGTGGACGTACAGCTCAACAGGACATCGTAGGAAACGAATGAAAAGCTACTTTGTGTGACTAGGCGAAAGTTGATTGAGACACCCTTTACCTGTTAACAATACAATCCATGGCACATGCAAGGTGTGCACAGAAACAATGGAAAGACGTGTTACAAAATAGTCAACTTCAAATGTAGCTTTTCGTAGCTGATACAATGATCTATATGTGATTCTTGAAATGGATGTATTTGAAGTTGTTTGAAATAAGGCACATATTGTAATCAGCCAGGTTCTCGTTGAAAAGATATTGGAATATGACGCGTGCTTTCGTAGGTGGGGATGTCACGGCGCGTACTGAAGCAGCCTCATTGTATTGTGAACTTCCCGACCTGATGAAGCCCGGGTAGGGAAGTTCAAATTTTGTCGTGAAAAGCCTTACACCACCGTTGAGCTTGATTGGTTTGAATGTGATCAACACCTTGGCATGTACGAATGTTGTCTTTTTAAACGTTTTAATTTTGTCGAGTGGTGGGGGCTTAGTAACGAGAATTTTGACAAAGAATCTGGCACGTGGCCAAATACATAAATATATGGATCAGTATTAATGTATTTGACTATTCAATAAAAAATAATTATGGATCTGCTTAATAAAATATAATAACTTTGACTATGACACATTTGACTTTCTCTTCATGGTATACGTGAATATAGAAATGTAGTAATGTCCTTGGCATAAGTATAAAAGGCAAAGGTGTATCCTTGCAATGGATTTATTACAGCACCGCTGGCAGACTCCACTTAAACGACCACTAAATAGCCCCTCTAGAGGATATATATACTCATGTATGCTTACATAAGTGTAAATTTTATAGCCAATAATTTTAGCTAAATTCTACGAACATATGCTAGTCACAGGGAAAAGCTCTCAATTCCGGAACTTTTCCACAGAGATCGGGATGGTTCCACTATTTGTAGAATTGGTCCGCAAAACTGCAGAAATACTCTTAAGCACAGCTGCCACGTTACCCACACGCAAATGGCATTATCTCTACCAAGTATAAGATCATAAACAGAACAATATAAGCAACGTCCGTGGAAAACAATTAATAAATAGAACCAATATTAACGTGTGGAATCGCTGACTCGCAATTTTTTGTCTCAGGTGGGAAAATATCGACGAGTTTAATGAGACAGACATAAGGCATTGGG